TGATAATTATTTAAGCCTTAAGATTACTACCGTGTTATATACCAACTTTGTAACTAACAATAAGAGAGCTAATTAAAATCTTGTAAGAACAATCAGTATCAAATTAACGTTTGTGAAAATAATAAATATTACTCTATCTCTACCACTGAAGACGATTTTTACCAAGCGTTGGAGGACGTGTTAATTGTATTACTATTAGCTTCTAGAAGAAGCGATAGATACATAACAACATTTTAATGCGATTTCTGTGTCAAAATGGAATTCTAACGAGATATTTTTCAGTTTACAGCTTCGTGATCTTTACAGAAGAATATGCTGATTTTTCAGTAAAAATCATGCTGTTTTTCTGTACGAAGACGGCTCACAGTTGTACGCAATCAATTTATTTCAATATTGTTCAGTGTAAACATATCCATCTTAATTTCAGTGTAAATATATCTACAATTACCTGGCGCCAAAAGCACTGCAGGATACTCACAAGTGGATTAGTTTCTTAAGAGTGTAGATTGATTAGTATTCACCGATGGGTTACGTTATAGAAATAGAACTGGAAATAGTTTTTCATTTATGTTTTGCTTTTTTTTTAAACAATCCCGATGTTAAAATTTAAATATTTTAAGTTTAATGACGTGAAGTAAGTTCAGTGTGTCTATTTTGATGGTCGAACGTAGTTTTTATAAAACTATTCTTTGTGCGTATAGGTTGACTGCATAGAATTAAAAAAAGATTTGATCAGTGAAAAGTACGCGCACAAATTTATTTCAGAAATTCAGTCGAAATTGCATCCAACAGAAAACAATGGCATAATGACGGTTTTGCGTGTTAATTTGCAACTCAATGTAACACATTTAACTATTATTTCCAAATTGACGTGCAAAAACTCGTAATCCTTTAATTGTTTTCCATTTTCACCTCAACTGATTTCCAACGAAGCAACTATATACATGTGTTTTTATGGCGTAAGTTTTTACGATTTTGCGCCACACTAAGGATAATTCTAGCAAAATTATAGGATTATTCGATTGAGCAAACGGGTCTCAGGTTTCCTTAATTCAATGATATTTAAATTATTCAAAAAATGCAAAGTTTGTACATTCAGAAGATATTATAGATTTAATATTTTACAAATATGTTTATAAAATAATTATACACTTCGAAAATTCTTGTTAATATTCGCAAGATAAAATGTATTAATTATTATTAAAAACTTTAAAATGTGCGTTTGTTGTAATGAAAATAAGATGTTTCATATTTTTAGAATTACTTAGGATAATGAATTATATAAGAAAAAGGAATTTTTAGTTAATAATGCAAAAAAATATTGTTTTTAATTTCCACTTAAACATATTTTCTTATTCTTAATATTATAATAAATATTAAATTATTACTTTATTAAATATATTTTTCAAATATCGAATTGTTTCATCATGACATGAAATTATCATCATTTTTTAAGTTAGTGTTTATAAAGACTTTGTGTAAAAGAAAATAAATAATGCCACTTCGCCTCAGAGTTGACCTGAAGTGAGTTACTTAATTATCTTATAAAGTATACAGAACAATTGCGATGTCTGTTCTCTTTTGTACGGTGCTGTTTGGATTGTACAGGCGAACATATATTATATTTTCTGCTGTATGTTGCAAAAGTGACCGCATAAAAACGCTTGCATAATGTATCTATAATAATTACACAAATTCGAGTGACCGTAATAAAATTGTGAACGCAAACGAACGAGGTATAATAAAACGAATATTGGAGATGACTTCAGTATTTTAGCTTGGTTTAACCGACGTTGAGGAAAAGTTTGTAGCTGAAATTAGTGCGAAAGATGCACGTTACGCGGAAACTCAAGGAAATTACAGTTGCTTACAACCGCATAAGTTTCCAAAGTACCAGGATGCACGCGAGTAATAAATCATAATTAACGAATTCCGCAACCGAGAAAAATTTTCACTCGTGTAATCTATAAAGAACCAGTCGAAGGTTTGATCTCGTTTCATGTGTATTTGTTAAGATCTGGTCCATGGTGAAAACGAACATTATTTATTTACATGTTTGATGCATGAAATGCATATGTCACGAAATGTCACAGAATATTTCTTTAAAAAAATTCCCCCTTTTTTTATATCTTGTACTTAATATTATATACAATTTGTACATTAAAATAAAATTGTTAACAACAAAATTATGTAGATAACATTATGAGATTATAGTGCGTCATTAACATAAAAATATAAGAGAAGAAGGGAGCAAGATAAATTGTTATTTGTAAAAATAAATCTATCGCTACTTGATTAGATATATTGTGAGAGTGACCGAGAGTTTTTAAACTGACATCAAACTTTTTCAAATACGTCTAATTCCGCCCGGTACGAGGGCATCGCGTTATTCTGGCTGTATCGCTCGGAGCTGACGCATCGTAGTTGCGAAGTGGTACGTGTAAGCTTAACGTCGCAATTTAACGTGCCGCGTTTCGCAGAGAAGTGCATAGCAATCCCACAGCAGGTACTTTTAACGAAGTCGGCGAGTAATTAATCGAAAAACGCGGTGTAATTACGGTTACGTCAAGGGACGCAATCGTTGAAATTGCGTTTATAAAGAAATGTATGATTCTTTTATCACGCTGCGTTGTATTATTCATCAAAATGATAAATCCAATTAAATATGCTTAGAAAAATTTGTTTTTTGTTTTATATTATTTTATGCAATATTTATTTAAAGAATTATAAATTCAGAAACTTTACAAGTTTCTTTGATTTTTCTCATAAAATATCAATTCCCTTCTATTGCTTCTATTGAATTACATTACGCATAAAATATAATATAATAATACAAATTAAATTATTGATTTATTTTATTTTAAAAGTTGTTTCTCTAATATCATAATTGAAGGCATATTTTATATAAATCAATAAAATATAAGAGAAAGAGAGACTGTGCGTAAGGCAGAAGTTGGGATAAAAAATAAAAAATACTTTCGTGCTAACTCGAATATAGAGAATTTAGATCATATAGCTTTCAAATTAACTATATATCTATGAAGTTGCATGATTTCGTGTTCTTAGATACGCGGGAAAAAATTAATATGTGTGCAACTTTCACTTAGAAAATTAATTCGAACTAATCTTTTTACGAGAACTGACTCATTTTACCGAGCTACAATTTATCTTATATAATTAATAGACCCGGCATTATTAATTATATAAAGAATTTAAATAGTTAAACAAGTTTGAACGGTAAATATATCGAACAGAGGACGACCCCACTCCGCGATAACCTTAATTTTGACCCATATTATCAATATATTTATCAGTATATTTATTAAAGTATATTTCATTATGTTTATGCACACTAATTACCGCGTAAACTCCTGCTTCCTCTTAGATTCTCGTCTTTAATTTGTTACGTATTAATAAGGTCATAATCCTAAGTAACCTCTGAGAAGTTTTACCTGCACGGAGAGAATTTTGTTTCAAAATTTATCCCGAAAATGATAGTTGCGGTACAATACAATATATTTTAAGGATTTTTATCACATACTTCAGTAAAATTAATCAAACTTATTTTATACTTTATTGTAGTTTTATTAATGAATGAGATAGATTTACATTAAAATTCTTGGAAATACAAAGCTGTCCCACGACTATCATATTTTCAGGGTAAACTCTAAGAAAAAATTCTCTCCGTATGTCGATCGTTATTCGTTAAAAAGTTATTAATAAAAAAAGTTTAATAAATAACGGTTTATTTCTTCTACATACAATGTTAAAAACTATTCTAAACCTGGCCTCCTTGCATAATGACTTTCCACACGAAAGGAGGTCCACCCCACCTCCCCCCCTGGTCACGAGCATCTGACCTTTCACGCGAAACGAGGTCCACCCCACTTCCCCCCTGGCCACGAGCATCTGACTTTCTACGCGAAGTGATATCCACTCCAAACTGAAATATGTTTTGGGTTTGATTATTCTTTGGACCTTACTTAATTCGTGTGGAAAATCGTGCGCCCCTAGGCAGGGAGAGGGGTGAAATTGACTCGAGCAGCGCGCTTACCAGGCCATCCCCATTTCCCGCGGCCCGCGCGTCGAGCGATCGATGCGTGTACATTTGGCAATAGTAGGCCGGGAGGGCGCGCGTATTCAGCTATCTTTAAAAATTAATATCTCGTTAAGGGGATGTTGGAGCTGCCTGTATTACCGACTGTATTATTAACCAGTGTTTTTGATGTTTTTGTTTCTGTTAAATTTTTTCGTAGTAGTTTCACAGAATAAATATTCCTTTTCCATGATTAAAATGTACATGCTAATGTATACTTGTCGCTAGTGTATTTTGTGTTCAAAGCTGTAGGAAAAAAAATTACAGATTTTCTGTATATCGGTATAGCGATAAACAGTGAAGATAAAATGGATAAAGAAATCTGTAATTTTTTACTTTTTTCGGTTTTGAACACAAAATACAGATTTTCTGTTTATCGCTATAACGATAAACAGTGAAGATAAAATGGATAAAGAAATCTGTAATTTTTTAGTTTTTTCAGTTTTGAACACAAAATACACCAGCGACAAGTACATTAGCATGTACAATTTAATCGTGAAAAAGGAATTTTTTTCTGTGAAAACACTTCTTCGCGGACAGGAACAAAAACGTCAAAAACGCTAGTTTTCGTTCGATGGCGGCTCCAGCATCTCCTTATGGGAATGCTAAAGTCGTCTGTATTACCGACTTAAACGCAATAATTTTTGTCTAACAATTACTTTTTTCCTCGTTTATAAATGTGAAAATCATTTTTTAGGATTAAACCATATGCATTAATACGTGTCTGTGAGGTGGAATTTATGTCGAGAACGAAAAAAATTGTTTAAATTGAGATCTTTACCATTTCTTAGTCCAATATGGCGTTAGAACCGTCAATACTGTGACAACATTTGCTTGATATAAATTATAAAAGCTTTGCAATTTGTACTTACGAAATTATGGTACAATTGGTAATTTGTTTCAGAGTATCCTACAGCAGTAACGGCTGAAATAGTTGATGTTAACATGAACTCGTTGGACGGCACGACGGGAAAGCCATTAGATGTCGATCTGCCACCAACCCTGCCGATGACCTTCGGTACGGAAAATTCAACATCGATTTCAGCGCAATCAGGATCCACAGCTCTGATGCCTTGCGTTGTCCACAATCTAGGAGAGGGCACGGTAAGGGTTGTTGAAATTTGTAATTCATTGATTAACGTATGCGAACTTTATATATAAATAAGTGGGATATAAATACAACACTCTATTTATTTATTTACTATTATGAAAGTGTCAATGAAGTAAAATTTATCACATTGTATGTACATAAAGAGTTTTTTTAACACATTATTTTTTTTTAAATTGAAAAATTTTATTCGATTATTTATAATATCCCGGAAAAATTTTCATATGTACATAATTATATATGCAGTATATAAATTATATACAATTATACAAAACTATGTATGAAATATATGTATTGTATATGTATATACATACACATATAACGCCTTGCTCGGCGTCGAATGATTTTAAGCTGCCTCTATACTGGACATAAGCATCAGTCTATCAGTTGTTTCCATATCTCGTCGGTCGTCTTTCAAGTCCCAGAACTTATTGATGCGTCTGCCATGGATTCCCAACGAATTCACTTCCTCCAAGGTAAAGCGGCATCAGGTTTTTTTGGAACATCCTCTTCTCCGCTTCTTCTGCGAATTGTAGACAAGATTGCGGTTGCAGACCTTGCTCTGGTTCTTTCTTAATGTGTGTTTAAGCCAATTATATTTTCTCTACGTTGATATCTCGTTGTTCAGTGCAGGCTCACAGTGTTTCATTGCTGATGATATTCGGCCAGAAGATACGGAGAATCCGCCGAAGAACAGCAATTGACGAACGCCTGGATTCTTTGCTTGATTGCGTCTGTAACGAGCCAGATCTCACATCTGTATGAAAGTGCAGAGATTACGTATGATCTAAAGATGTGTAACTTGATCTTGATACTGTAGGTGGTAGAGCGCTAGATCTTGTTTAGTTGTACAAAAGCATTGGTCTTCTTGATCCTAATCTCCACATCTTTAGCAGTACCGCCATCTTGGGTAACTATACTTCCCAGGTACAGGAACTCGTCTATTCGCTCAATTGGCAGTTCATTGAACTTTAACGGCCGGCTGGAGTTAAAGTATTGATTCGCATCAATAAGCCCATTCCCTTGGTTTTTGCGACATTGATTTTGAGATAGGCGACTCCATTGTCATTGTTTGCTGCATGTCATTGACGGCTCGCATTTGTCGTCCGCATAATCCAAAGATTCCAGTCGCTTATTTAATCTGAGGGGCTTCCATACGATTCCTCTCGACTTGTTTTTCGTCACATGCCTCACTACCGCATCTATGGCGATCAGAAACAGCAATGAAGAAAACAGGCAGCCAGAAATGATCTCAAATGGTTCTTACAGAGTCCTTCCTCGTATAGGACGCGACACTGAAATCCCTCATTAATTTTTCATATAAGGAAGACGATTTTTGGGAGCACGCCTATATTACCCAACTCGGCCCAGATGTATTCGCGGTTGATGGTGTCGAATGTCTTCTCGTAATCGACGAACAGGAGATATCTACGAACGGAGAGCATTTCGACAGATTATTTCTGAGCTTGTTGATTTAGTCGATGTAGGATCTGTCAGCTCTAAAGCCTGCCTGTTCCGGTCTGAGTTTCCCATCTATAAACTTGATTATTTGCGCCAGAATAACCTTCATGAAAATTTCCATAGCAGCGCTTAAGATGTTGCCACACCAATTGTTACAATCAATGTTCAAACAATGTTCATAAGACGAATAAATCATAGGATCCACGATTTCTTCGTTTTACGATTTCTACGTTTACGTAACGTTTTGTGTTTTTGTAATAGATAAAATAATGTAATGTGTATGTTGTAATTATTACTTTTTTGTATATGGCATATTATCCCATATTTGGTGACCTATCACCCACAAGGTGGCATTTTACTCACTTTTCAACACTATCGTACTTCTTTATTCTTAATAGTAAAAATGAAAATATAATATTTATTTGCTATCATATACAAGTAATACATAATAGAAGGAAATGGAAGAAGATCGATATATAGAAGCACTTTAAACTGAACAAATAATTATACAAAAATCTCTCTCTCTAATTTCTCTTAAGTGGCATAAACCCCTCACTTATCCTAATATTAAATGTATTTAAGTTTAACGTATTTTGTATACGTTAGACTTTCCATCTAAATCGAGTCGCTTATTTGGAAAGTTGTATAAATTCAGTTTTGAAACATCATGCATTTCAATGAGATGTGAATATGAACCGAAATGCGACACGCTGATCACAGTCGGATTTTTGGAATTGAAGTTATACCATCTCCAAAATGGATTGGTATTCGAAACGTCACATCGATATATCCATTAAAAAACATGCTGATATCTGCGACATAACGGGATTTTTTTACAGGAATAGAATAATCCAAACACATTTAGAAAAGTTTAACACGGCATGTGCACCTTTGCAACGTAAAATTCCGTGGTTTAATCTCGCTTTAGAAGAACGTAATTCGTGGCAAGAGAATAAATGCAGCGATTACAAGTTGAAGCGCTGTTTAATCCGATATCTTTACAACTGCATTCAAGGTTTCTTACGCCCGCCATCGCGACTTTACAATGTACCTACGTAGCAGAGCCGTGCAAGAATTTCTCTACCAATTGGTACAATGTTATTATCAAATTTGTTTTTTTTTGTTTATATATATATATATATATATACATGATAATTTCGCTCGCGCGCGTATCAATACAAAGTTTTTTTTACGAAGAACGGTGACTAGAATGGAATATTTTCGCGCGCGAAGAATGCACGAATAATCGGGAAATCTGTTAAAACACCAAAGATATTGTCTTTGTTCCAACGGGTGGTTGTTAGCACAGTCTCATAACTTAATGCAACTGGCATTTGGCCGCAATGTTGCGCTGATTTAACATGCGACGCAAACACGAAGCAATACAATCAAATAGAGTTTAATGAACCATTTAATGAACCTATTGCTCGTTCAACTTCATTTACACTATACATGCGTGTCATAGTTGAGTAACATGACGTAGAATATTAATTATTAGCTATATGTAAAACAGTTGGCAATTTATCCATAAAAAAATGTTACAACATATAGTTCACTATTCAAAAAACATCCGTTCATAAATAACTATTGTTTCATTTTAGTGTCGCAAATTTATTATCATTTTGCATATATTTTATTATAAAATAGACATTTTCAAAATATACACTACTCAACAAAATTAAAGAATGACCTGTTCCATCTTGTAAAAATAAATAAATTTTTTAAGATAGGACATCGTCAAAAATTATTCTATCGAGATGTTTAAAAAGTATTTTACAGCTTGAAATCTGTAGTTCTTAGATGGGTACTTTAGAAAACAGTCTTACTAATATTTTATGGAGTTACACAAACATAAATGAAGATGCATCAGATATTGAAATTTTTTACGAAATTTGCGAAGTTTTACAACGCAACGCGAATTAAAAATTACACACAAAATCGATTGACAGCATTTGAAAGAGCGAATCTCTACTTTTCATTTGCTTTTTTTATTAAACTCTGTATGATTTTTCTTCATCAAGTTATTCAACATTGAACAATTTTTTTGCTTCAATATTGAATAATAATTCAATGAAAAAAATCGTACAGAGTTTAATAAAGAAACAATTTAAAGATAAAGATTCACTCTTTCGAACGCTGTAAACCGCATTTGTGTACAATTTTTAATTTGTGTCGTGGCACTTTGCAAATTTTGTAAAAAATTTTGAGATTTGATGCATCTTTATTTATATGTAATTCCATAAAATATCAATAAGAGCGCTTTTTCTAAAGTACCGCTCTGAAAAATAGGGACTTCGCAAGTCTCAGTAGTCTAAAGGACCCTCGAACGGAATACAAGTGATTCGGGTTCAACTCCTGGCCGAGGTAATATTTTTCGCAATAAATTTATTTATAGTTTTTCAGCATATTAATATCTTTTTAATAGGATGCCCAATTGAGCATCAAATTATTAAAATTGCTTGAAAACCTATTCGGCGCGCAATTCGAATGACTACAAATTGAAATGTGGTATATGCAACTACATATATAGTATATAAATATGTATATAGTAATTTAGATTGAATTATTTAAGCATTAAAGATCTAGCCTTGATCGTTTAGGCCATTACTTCTATTTCTTATCGGTATATTTTAACAGCTCTAGTGGAATTTTTTTGACACGATTTTACTCTTAAAAATGGAAGCACGTTATTATTACATCTATAACGTAAAATGCCATTTTCTTTATACTGCTGAAGAAACCTGACAGGTTGCAAAAATAATCTAGAATCGAGATAAAAAGTAAAAAATTAGGTGAACGTGTAATATGTAATTTACACATCAAACAACAAAAATTTAAGCGAAACATCTTATTGCTAGATACGATATTGGTACGGAAATAGAAAAATCGAGTCTAAATTGCGAGACGTGTATTGCTCCTAAAAATGATTGGAATTGTTCGCGCGGTATCTCGTTTGTCAGTTATGCGGCCATTCGCTATCATTCTCGCTATTCCTCGGGCGATGTTCCGGAAGTTATTACGGAATTATTACACCTTTCCCACGAGCGCTCGAGAATAATTGGCGCGTTATAGGACAGAGGAGAGCAGGCGCGCGTGAGTCAAATGGATGCAGGTAGAAATCGATAGGGACGGTCTTGTCAAACGACTCGCTCGGTTGTTATACCTATCTGGCTGTCGTTGTCCGATGCTGCATCGTTCCGTGAACATATAAGGTTTCATCGCCGCAAACTGGAGTGAACGAGATAGCAAGATAACGCATCGAGGAAACGCCGAGAGCTACAAAGAGAATCCGAGAGAGACCGTAATAAGGGTGCGCTTTTTTCTATTTCATCGAATTGATATTTCAGAGAAAATTAGATACACGTATAGTAAACTCATCATGATGCTGGTCATAATGCGGCAGTGGTGCCATTTACTGCTATACAACACTGCGAGAATCTTGTGCATACGTTTACAGTCACGATAGACATGAATTATGATGCGGCATATGGATAACAATGAAGATAATAAATGATCTACCGCATCTAGGAAAAGA